GGAAGTGGAAGTGACATCAGCTATTGCCCAATTTCATACTGTAGCTCAACTGTGAAGATTCTGTATGATCCAGAAATCTGAAGAGAATCTGTAGAACTGTTCTTTAGTTTGAAAAAAACTGTTCAGCAAAATGGCAATAGCTAATATCCTCGGAATCTTTTCTCTAAATATCACTCAAATGATACTCAGATGCTTACACTTCTTCATCAGCTCTGAATTTAGATGTTTTATTTGGGTAGCAGATTGGTCCATTGGGCACTTCGCCCCAGCAAATTCATCAATTAGTCTAGGAAATATCAATCTTACAAATCACAACCTAACTTCATCAGGGTAGAAAATTTTAGAAAATCAGCAATCTGTCTTACTGAAAATTATTGACATCACAACCTTTAAGATTAGTCAAGAAAATTTGGAAGAGTTTGATTTTTTTATAATACTGGCCGATTAAAGTAAAGCTTTGATAATCTCTTGTAGATTTGATCGAATGGCTAAAAAATATTTATGCTTAAAAGGAGCAAATTAACATTTTGAGAAAAAGTAATGTACACAATACATTCTTTTGCTCTAACATTAAAAGTTGTCAGAAAAGACAAAATAGCATAGAGGGCATTAAAATTTACAACTTCAATTCATGCTTCTTCTTCGTTTTATAAAAATAAACGTTACGACACCAACCAGCTTCAGAGTTGCTTGACAAGGCTTAGGCCATGACCAGCCTGGGATTAGGTAGGTGGTGAAATGTTAATATTTTGAAGAAAAAAATAAATTGTAGAAGATTTTGTAGGTTGAAAGTAATACTGTCCTAAAGTTTTGGTAAAGCCATGGTATTAGCAAAATTATAAGCCAAAAAAACCAAGGGCCGCCAACATAATACAAATTGACAGTGAAACTGCAAAGACGCATAATTGATTTGCAGTGTTTCAAAATTTATTCTGTTTTATTTCATCAAAGGAGAACTGAACTTTACAGAAATTTCTTCACCCAGAGAGAAAAATAACAGAGAAATATGAAAAAGTAGTGTTGTATATTTTTTCATGGAGGAAATGCATTGTGACAGGAAGTTGAACCGAGATACGCGTTTTGCAATTTCACTGCCGATATGTGTTCTACGTACAGATGTGAGGCTGGTAAAATTAGCCCTTCTCCGAAAATGGAGGAGGAAGAAAAAATTAAAATTACATGAAATAAACACTGATAGTTAAACTCATGCACTCTACAAAGTATGATGCGAATAAATATCTTTCGACCACTATATTTAAAACCTCAGGTCAAAGTAGTTAGAAAAAATAACTCTAGGAAACTTACTAAGTAACTATAATAACTTAGAATGAATTTTATCACAATACATACACTTTTGAAAGGACTAAAACTGAAAGTGAAAAGCAATTTAAGTGAACTTTACAGGGGATGTGGGTGTGATGTATTCAGGTTTTACTTCCCTACGCTAATTTTTTACGTTCTGGATTCACGAAATGAAAATTGGATGAATCAAAGGAGGAGATCGATTTTCATCTTCGAGAACATGGTGCCTCATTTACATTATATATGAGACTTGGTTTTAAATGTACAAGATTTAGGCTGATAACAACAAATACCCAATTTTTTTATGTTACAGAACATAATGTCTGACCATCTAAACACTCGTTGGTCTGAGAACTGAGAAGGATTCGGTCTTGCATCATAGTTCTTGTAAGCTACCTCATTTGTTTAAAAATTGGGAAAAACTTGCATCTAGATGTCAGTTTAATGTAATCATGCAGCTAACTAGAGACTATATTTCAAAAGACGATATTCTATAGGATTGCGTACGGATTTAAAAAGAATTAGTTCAGGGTTAATTCGAAACAATTTCGAAGGTTAAACTAAACTTTCAAACATGTAAAAAATATTCATTAAAAGCCCATATCAATGGCCAAAGTACAAAACCTTATATTGAACCTTATATATGAATTTCGTAAAAACTTCCTCAATATTTCTTCTCAATTGAAGAATATTCTGTATAAATTTTAAGTTTTAAAGATGACTTATTTGTCCTCAATAAAAGAAAAGAGCAGACATTTTAAAACACCACAATGGAGATACATACGTAGTTTTGCACTTTGACCCTAGATATGTAATGGCTCTGCAGCAAAACAGAGAGATTTTCCTTTGTTCTTCTTCTTTTTCCTCTTTTTATCTTTGAAATTAGTAAAATACTCCTCAAAGAACTTAAATTAGGCTTTAACTACTGAAGAATGACAGACTTTCACTTCTTAGGAAGCGATTTCTAACACTGCTAAATTCACCTTTAACAGATCAAAAAGACCAATTTAATAGGCAATTTAATAGGACCAGTTTAATTAACATTCATCATTGAAAAAAGTTAATTGGTGCTGGATATCCTACATAAAATTAAATATTGTAATTTATCCTACATATTTGAGTAGCGAGGAAGTATTGAAGTACCAAGAACTATGAAACAAGTGAGGAGACATCTTAATATATAATCGACAAGAAAATGTTTAAATCCTTTCAGGGATATTCAACAGCAGTGAATTTTTACTTTTCCATTATTCATAATCAGATAGGTTTTTCGTTCCTTTGGACAGCATTCATAATTCTTTTGATTACTATAATATATTGCAAAAAATAAGAGCACCTGAATTTACGCACGATACGAAAAAATTTGCTGATATCAAAAACGTATGACAGGAACTGTGATTGCAGAAACAAACATGCTTTCCTACTTAAATAGGGATTTGGCTGATAACTATTGCATCTTCCTTTTCATACAAAAATACTAGCATGAACACAATTTGCACTGAATCGCAATTCATCAGTGGGAGGAAAAAGAATGAAGGGAGGTATACTTCCCTCTAACAATAAATTAAGGGTTTTTTTAACCTTAAAATTAATACTTTCAAATAAGTACGTTATGTATAAGCCAATTGAGTTAATACTGCTTGCCTACTTTCAACCTCTTGAAACCCGAGAAAAAAGGTTCCAAAGGCAAAAGATATGATAAACTGAAAAATATTAGTGAAGAAATGTTAGATGGTTAGAATCTTCCCGTGGAAAAAGTTTATTACCAATCAATACGTTGCCCTCCTGACATAAGGACGTGAATACACTTTGTGGTGAACCCTGTCGTCCATCCAATGACGATTACAGCGATATGAATAAAATAAAGGGAAGTAGGGTGAGGGATAAAAACTTAGGATAAAAAGAGAGAAAGGAAAAGTAAAAAGCGGTTAATGAAACCTCAGAGAATAAAATGGGTGAAAAATTCTTTTGACATTATGGTAAAAATGGTTTCAAAATTTAAAAATTAGATTGGGGCTTATGACAATTCAAAAATTCAAAACGACAATGTACGTGGCAATTAATTTTGAAATTTGGTAAAATTGTGAAGTCTTGGGTGATTTTTAAGGTACTTTTTGGCTTGAGAAACCTTAGAATTAGGTTAATAAAAGTTCCTTTCTTTCAGTTTACTTCAATATTTAATATAATAACCAACTTCACTTGTGATCATGATCTAATTACTGACAGATCACGATAGGAAATAAAGAAATGGTAATAGATGCAAAAGGATGGAACATAAACATGACAGTCACTATTAATAAGGGATACCAGAGCTCATGGATTTTCAGAAATTTAATTGTTTTGAATGAGTGAATTTAAGTAAGGAAAAAAGTAAAATGTGAGGAAGATGAGACTAAAAATAATAAAAGTCAACAAGATAATAAATACAATAGATTAAACTTAAAAGTAAGAGGGCTAGAGTTTAAAACAAAAGAAATCAAGAGAATTTCTTTTTGGACGAATTATGGAATAATGCAGGAACATAAAAGGTCAATCATACAAACAAAACAAAAAATGCAAAAAAATCTGGTTGAAATTGCTGGCAAGTCCATTTACAAAATTTAGCATTAAGTAAGTATTATTGAATAACTTAGAATGTTGTAGTTATTTGGATGAAATTCAGGGTATAGACTGAATAAAATTTCTTGGATAGTAACTATTTTCTGAGATAACAAGCTACGCAAGTTGTACATTAAAATATTTAATGGAAATTGAAAAATTAGGATTAACAAAAACCCGATATTTTTTCCTGAATAACCAAAAAAAATTCTGTACAAAGAACAACATACTGGAAAGTTGAACTAGATTTAAAACCATAATGGCGGTAAAACTGCAAAAACGTGTGTTTCCTTTGAGGTGTTTCAAAATTTTTGCGCTCATATTATTTTATTTCATCAAAAGGTGATGGACCGACTTAATTGCTTGAAATTTTCACCAAATATTTTTCAGAGAGAGAAAAAAAAATCACGGAAATTTTTAGATTTGTATTTTTTCATTGAGAACATAAATTATGACAGAAAGTCTAAAGCGTTGCAAACCAAGAGTTTTTGCAGTTTCACCATTGATGCTAGAATCAAACTATTAATTTGAAATACACTTTTTACTTAAAGAGGAGACAATGCCTTGACCTTTATTTAATAGATCGTGCAGGGTTGGGCAAAATAAATAAAACCTGCCACTGCTTCCTCAAAAAATGTTTTCAAAACTAAGATGTCACATATAATTTTGAAAAATATTGTTTCATGTCAAAGAATCAAAATTTGAACGGATTTTCAAAAAAACACTCTTCGAAGATTAAAATTGAGGATAAGCTAAGAGATTTCTGATGAGAAATCTCTCGATAGAACATGAAAAAAAATCAGCAAAATAAGAAACGTTTAACGGCAAACTAGATACGTATCATCATGGAAAATAATTCAGAAGGGGAAGACATTACTTCATTCAGACCCTGTAAAATTTTGAGGAAAAATTTCGGATGTCAACCAAGCGGGAGAGAAAGTGTTTCTCTCATACAGCTTAATTTAAAAATTGTACTTTGTAAACATGTTTCCTCTTTGAAAAGTTGTATTACAACAGAAACCTTCGAAACATTACAACTACTTATGTCCATTTTTAAAAATATATATACAACACGGTGAGGAATGAATAACAAAACTGTATGCAGTTCACCATACTGAAAACTCGAACAAAACATGACAGGCAAGAGAAGAAGACAGGTAAACGCTACACATTAACGAGGAGTTAAAAAAAATAAACAATATCTCAGTTTTCAACAAAGGTGACTATGATACATTAAGTACGGAAATTGCAAGACGTGTGGCATCACAAGGAGTTTACATTTTTAAAAAAATAAAACCCTTTTTTTTTTCAAAAAATACAGTGGAAATTTCTATCAAATTTTGTTTTTAGGAAAAAAGTCCAAGAGAAGTATTTTAGGTTACAGGTATTAAAAAAAATACACAGCATCATTTATCGTGGAAAATCGCAGATATGGTCTTAACAGAAACAATACAATGAACACCTACCCCTGAACATGATATAATTAAAGCTTAAACCGTACCTTTCACAGCAGGGATATGGTCGGGACACACTTTTAAGACACTTTCATCAAAATAATTTAATGTTGCACACTGTTTCTTGTCTAAAAATACTTTTTTAAGGAAACAATATGACATGAATTCAAGGTTGTTCGGAACTTTTTAGAGACTTGAGCTTTTTTTCTTTCCTTCCTCCTATTGATCGACTTTAATTTTCACCAGTTGCTGCATTGGAAAAAAAAGTCTGATCGGATCTGTGTAAAGGGACCTTATCTTCCAGGAGAAAATTTTCCCTTACTATTTGTAAACATTCAGACCATGTCTTTAGACAAACCAAGAATTATTGTCTCTGAACTTCAGGACTAATATCTCCTTTAATATATGTATTTAAGATTTTTGGGGTCGACTTACACCAACATTCTCCAAAAAAACTAGGGAAAATCTACCAAATAATAAGGTTCCTTTACAGAGATTCCATCACAAATCAATCTTTTTTTACCTATTTAAAAACAAAAAAACTGCTGACAGAAAAATCAACAGTCAGTGTGGGATTGATTCCAAAAGGACTTTCTATGATATGGGGTTCTTTAAATGTGAAAATTAATGGTTCAACTTAGAAAACACACATCTCAATTTGAAATGTTTAAAATTATTCATTGTGTTTTACACTGTTAGTAAGGTACTTGCAAATGTATTTCCTCAAAAATTAGTATGGTTTTTGGTATTGGTTCGATATTTTGCAACTGTTTTAAGTGATAGTGAAAATTAAGGGATAGAAATTCAAAAACACTGAAGTTGAAAAATGTAATTTTAGAAGCTGGTCATTTAGCATCTTTTACTTTTGAGATATTTTTGGGAGGAAGGAGATATAGAAAAGACACTGGTTGATGCTAACATTTTGATAAAACGTCTTCATTTCATAACAGTCTCCATTCTTGGAGAAGTGAGTTAAAAATTGTGACGAATTCTCCACAAAAAAACCGATAAGTTAAAATTGGTATACCGAGGGATCACAATGCATTTGGAGTATAATGAGAAAATAATTTGAGAATCTAATATTGCCATTTACAACCGTGAGTAGTAAAAAATAAGGATTGCTTACAATAGTGTGCATAGTTGCTGATACTACTTTTTACTTACAGGGGTTGAAGTGGACGATGACTTTTTCGCTTTCCAGTCCTCTGCAGAAGCGCAAACTTCACAGTTTTGTATGTTTTACATCAGTCCAATAATTCTGAATTGTCATTGCTTCGAGACTGTTCAGAAAGGAGTCATTGTCTAAACTGTACATTTCTTCAGAATTTTCCTGAGCACAAAACAAAAATCAATTAAAAACATGAACTGAATTTTTACAAGTTAATTATTGCCATTATTTGAACACTTTCTTTGCAGACACCTTGCTAATGATAGAATAGAACAAAGTAAAGAAGAGATGGTGTCTATCTTTTATTTTGGTCTTTTATTTTTATTTCAAGGCCGAAAATGAAATAAAAATCTGGAAAAGAAGTGTTTTTTCAATAGTATTTGTACAGAAAATAACGTTTTATTAGACCTCTTGTGCAACCTACAGTTGCTAGATAGAATCAAGTCAAAATTTATGAGGATAAAATTACAGTAAATAACGGCAGAAAAATTGCGAGAGGCTATTAACCCACCTACTTAGAATTTTTAGTCATTCGAATTCGCTGTGCAAGCCCTGCTGTTTGTTTTCAAAAATATCAATCTAAATAAAAAAGTCGGTGAAAATTTGAAGGAAACTTTTTAAGAAATTCTGCAAAGCAAGATATTTGAAGGCACCATCCAGTTATGATTGATCAACTCTTGCTATTGCTCGCCCTTGCTGAAGTTACCTGATCTAACACTTTATGTATAGACTGATTTTCAAACATTTAGCGCAACCAAAATAAGATCTTCAAGGCAACAGAATAGCATAGCATTGCCGGCTGTAATTTTCTTTATAAAACCTTGAAATTTAAAGGAACATGGCCTTGTAATGTTACTGTTCTCTACTTTTTAAATGATATTTTTACCATCTTAATCTTAAGCCCACATCAACCTAATGAGTAATTCAAAGAATATGAGAAGCTTTACTTTCTGAGAGCATTTACCATGAATTGAAACAAAAGTACAAATGAGGAAAGATGAAGGAATCTACTTGTCTTTGTATGCATTGGCTTACTAAAATTAATTACCTGCGCTGAGAATGAAAAATATTTAGTGCATCAAATTTTTAAAATTTCTAGGATACTGGGTAAATTTTTTTTTAAGGAAAAACACTCTGAGTTTTGACAACAAAAATTATAGACTAAATTTACTACTTAGACCGCAATACGAGTCACAATCACCTACAGGATGTCTCAGACCATCCGTGCTTGGTTTTTTTTCCAGACATATTATGTCACACGAGTTTAAGGACCATGAGGACAAATATAAAAGTGACCCTGAAAATTCCAAATTTTGAAGCCACCTAATTTTCCTTTATGGATATCGAGAATTCACCTTTGAAGAGCAGGATTCAAACCAGAATTTGAAATAATTGGACCTAATCGAATCGATCATGAAATTCAACAAATTTTGACCTATTTAGAGGGGGCGGTAACCTTAAAAACAAGCTTGGCTAAATCGACGAAGAAAAGTGTGCAATGAATGATGCCGAAAGCCGTTTGCGAATATCTGCATTCGTTGAGCCGCTATCGCCAAAAAGCAGCTGAGTGCGTGATGTCATGAGCTCCGTCTTGCATTTTGCAGTCTGCACTCTGCATTCTGTCTCTGGTGTCAAGTGGCAAACGCGTGTTCACGACAACTTATTAGTTCGCCGCGATGTTGCTCGTTCCTGGCCAACTCTTTTTTCTTTGCTTAGGTTTGACTATTAAGGCCACTTCGCAGCGCCAGATGGCGATCGAGCCAGACTTCGAGTTGTGTGCGTGTGAACGGCAACTGCACTGGGAGCGCATGACATCACCAGTTAGACTAATAATCTTTCATATCTCTGCCGATTTTGCGATTCTTTCATTCAGGACAGAGCCATTTTGCTGCTTCTACCATCCTGCTTCAATTTTTAATACTATCTCATTTTCGATTTAAGGGTTGCTGTCCCCTTTAATATCGAAAATTCCAAAATCGGCCTATCCCTGGCAAATACTGACCCGTGAAGTTGGCAGACAAGAGAGTCGGAGAGCTAAAAATAATGTTGGGCTTATCCTAAGCGTTAAAAAAACATTTCTCCAGTATGAAAAGTAAAATTTGGAAAATATTGCAAAATGAGCACACAAACTCTGCCGTGATAGCAAAGAGAGCCGTAAGTGCAAAAACGAAGTTTTGAGAAAATGGACTCAGTGGCTTCGGAGCGGAAAATTTTATTAAAAGAAATCTCCGTTCTCTGTCAACTTGCCACCAATTATCCAGAAGACTCCTAGAAATCATTTAGATGATTATTAATCCACCGATTTTATTATTTATTTCAATGATATAAAAAGGATATCATTAATACTCATGTTAGGCTAGTGTTAGGTTAAACAGACGTGAGTGCAATCTTCTGCATGCATTCGTGGTTCCGTTTTGGACACACAACAAACACATTTTCAGGTTAGAAATTACCAGGAAAGGCAGCATTTTACTTAAAAGCTCTATTTTCATTGGCTATCTGGAGAAATAAAGCGAGTTCCGGCTGTCTCGTCTGAAACTGCGCCATTTTTTCCTGACTTACAGCTTTCTCATAGGTTTTGTTCTCATTAAAATAAGACGTTTTTTGTTATTTTAGCTATTTAAGTGATTTCATTCAAAAAAGATTAGAAGAATTTATAAGGAAATTTAATTTAAAAGATTTGACAGCTGCAGCTCTCTTTGCTACCACGACAGAACTTTTTATTTTTTTTCCTGTAAAATGAGCAAGAGTTGTATTTAATTTCTCTGTTGAGTCATATTTGGTCTGGGAATGTGGATGTATGCGTTAGTAGAGGTAGAATTTTCTAATGTTAGTGTTTATCTGTGACTGATAAGGGACTTTCCTCTCCCAACATAACTTAAATGTTTACTTTTTGGCCAAATTATGAGTCATTCCACAGTAACTGCCATTGAGATTGTAGAATTGAACGTAGACTCAGATTGTCCAAGTTCATCACGTTTTGTAACACTGTAACTGATTGTGAGCTCAAACTTCAAACTTCGCTGATTTTTCAAACTTTTTCCAATTTTTCTAAAATGTTCCCTGGCTAATCACAGCAAAATTTCCTGACTCATCCCTGCCTTGAAAGATAAAAAGAAATATTATGATTATTTTTTGAGAGATGAATCTATGGCTCATTGCAGTGTTTCCTCTGAATGAAAAAATTAAGGTTTCCCCTAGCCTTTTCTACCCTGCTTTCATCTACAGGTTCACCAAACTAGAATACATGACTATGTATCAGACTATTGTGTACTATGAAACATAGGGTTCACAACTACAGTATCAATTAAAATAAAAAGCTCATGATAAAAATGAGACAAATGCGAATTAGTGGTCACTTTATAGAGTACTTAACCGTCCACGAGAAAAGGGACCCTAGTGCTCTAGTGGCACTTTTTCAAAACAAAAATTTTTCTTGAAAAAAAAGGAACTGAATGAATATATTGTTCATTTTCTTACCGATAGTAGGCTTAACACTGCATATTAAACAACGATTCAAAGCCTTCATTGAAACAGATTAAAATTCTAACAAGTTTTTCTTGGCCTTTAAATTTTGTTTTTCTTAACTGTACACTACCAAAGCTACTGCTGGGTTTGATTATTTCAAGCTTTTTGTGTCATGATATTTGTGCAACACCCTTCAATGCTCATTTAGGTATCTCTTTAATCTTTCCTCTCTTTAAAGAATCGGCATCAAACGGAATAATTTTTTGTTGTAGAGAAATTCTTGTTACAACGAGTGACACTATTGTTAACAGAAAAAGTTCAAGAGACTAGAAAATTCATTTGTTGTGGAGAAACTTTAGTTATAACTGGTGTCATTGTGTAGAGAGAGTGCTGTACTTTTAGGGTCTTTTTTCTTGTTGACAGTGCTTGTTTTTCCCCCCAAAATTTTCTAGAGGATAGATTTTTAGACGCGAGATTACAAGTGATTCAAAATCTAAGGGTCAAGGATTAAGCGTATTACACATTTAAATTATTCTTGAAAAACTAACGCTGTCATAGGTAAGTTGAGCAGCGAAGCTCACAGCTGTTACTTCAGAGCCACTCGGACTTCATGGCACGCTGCGATGAAAAGGAGAACATCAGTAACTGAGCGAGCTATATAGTAAACTTCTGAAAGTCATATATTTAATGGAGGGAAACTCTTTAATAGTGACGAAACGAAATCATGGTTTGTCCATCCGTCATAGTATAGTGTACCTATGCAAATGACAAAGCACCATTAAGCTTTCGCATTCTTCAAGTACAAGTTTTTAAGGATTGGAATTTACTAGATATGCTTTTACGTTTGGCATAATCTTGTGGCAAGAAGAAAAAATAAAAGATAACTTCGAGTCAAACAATGCACAGCATAAAACCACAAAACCAAGTTGATGCTAACTGCTATGGGATTTTTTGAAGCTTCCAACAATGTCTGTTTATTTTCTGAGATCATTCAACGGAAAAGAGATCTTGATGCCAAAAAAAAAAAAAAAAAAAAATGAGATATCAGTGTAACCGCACAGAATAAAGTTTCAGGGTTAGTTTGGCATAGGTTATTTGGAACAGTTTGGTACCCAACTGAACTGAAATTACGAGGAGTTGAAGTTCATAGAGCAAAAAACTTTTTTACAATTCCATCTGCCATGTTGGAATGAACAGCCATATAACAAAGCAACAACAAGTTTTTTTTTGTCTTGAATAAAATAATTGATACGTGGTAACTTATTTTTCAGATGGTAAATAATGGTTTCCATAACAATCATGGATACCGAATTTTGGCTCAACTTGACGAAAATTGCAATTCTAAAAATTATTGCAAAGTTTACAGGAAAAAAATTCTTGACAGATGAAGTTGATATGGAGATTCAGTTATCAGCTCCCCTCCCCCCCCCCCCCAAAAAAAAAAATTCTCTGATGTGCGAGAAATCTGAGAGAAAAAGAACATCAGGTTAAATTTTTTCAATTGGAGGCATTATTAAAAGTGAAGCTCTTCTATGTAAGGGCACTAATATCTCAGTTTTTAATTTTCTAGCACTGAAATTCTTTTTCTTGTAAACGGTCAGATATTTAATGATAAAGCAACTCGGACATATGTCACGAACCAATTAGTTTGGCTTAATTGACAATCAATGATCACAACCAGAAATGATTACTTGAAAATAAGATCAAATTTTCAGCACGTCTGGGTGCAAAAATTGCTTGACTGATCGAGTGCATAGGATGTGGAAATACACCGGCACAGAAGATTTTGACAAAAAAATTGAAGGAAGAAAGTTAAAAACTGAATTGTTACGAATTTTGAATAGAGTGTGGTAGAATTTTCATTCAGTGGGAGTCAACAAGCAGAGGGCAAGAACTGCTTGATCAAATCGGATGAAGAATTTGTTTTACTTACTCTTAAAGTGCTGTCATCTATGTAGCCACTGGAATCAGCATTGCTGCACTTATCGCTCAAGGTTTGTGGTTTGTTCCATCTGTATCGACGGTACATGACAAAACTAACAGCACCTAAAACGGATTAGATTATTTTTTAGATTAATTAATTCTAACAAATTCTATGTAAATATTTTCACCATCTGTCTTGAACCAGATTCCACTAATATTTTTCTTTAAAAAAATCCTAACGCATATAGATCTTATTTGTTCAAATGTGCCTAATTATTGATTACCCTTATAAAAGCATGGCAGAATTTTATGAGATTCTGCAAACACTAAGATAAGCTTGTTCAATAATTTTAAATTGTTACATACCTGTCTTTTAATTTACACAAAGTTTTCCCTGATTTTTTTTTTAACGAGAATAGGTCATGAAAAATGAGTTCTAAGTTGAATATTGACGGTGTAAGTCGGCAATCGCATAACTCGTTTGCCGTGTCTGAAAGTCTTCGTCTCTAATGTATGTTCATTTTTTAAAGGAGAGCGAATTGACATCATTCCTTCAAGTTTATGCAGAATTTTCTTCGCACAGAGAAGAAAAATCAAGGTACTTTTAAAGAATTGCCGTTGAGTTGTTTTCCGTTTAAAAAATAAAAAGTGACAGGAAGTCTGCGACGTCGCAAACCGAGTTATGCGATTGCCGACTTACACCGTCGATATACTGAGCTTGTACTTGAACACGCATTGCCCAGAGGGCCAAACTGGCATCCGAAAATATACATATCATTGTGAGAACTTTTTAGATTATACAGCCTCTCTGTGACGAATTACAGTCTGTCTCAATGCATGGCCACACAGACTATGAATTACAGCAGACAGAACACGCTATCGAACAGTGGGATGGATACTTGAGGACACCATCTAGGCTTTCTGGAACAATGCACTTTTAAATAGGAGCTCAAAATGCAAAAAATTGCGCTCTATTTTCTGGAGTTACGCTGATGAAATATCTGCCAAAATTATTGGACGAATATTTGACAGCTTCAAAAATATAATGCAATGTAAACTGACTACGAAGCACTCACTGACAAAAGTTTAAATAATCTGAAAAATAAAAAAAACAGCCTGCAGGAAGAAAACCAAGGCTATTTTAAATGACATGCTGACTGCGGAGACGTGAGAAAATATTGATTATTTACCAATGAGTCCTGTTAGAGCAACCACTGTCGCAGAGATCACTACTATCACAATGATGTTGAAACTACTCAAGGTAGTTTCATCTGGTGCAACTATACGTTCATTTAAAGTTGAAAATGAAGCATTTTCAGCACTTCTATTGAAAGATGCTGAGGTTTCGTTACTGCCAAAAAGCAAATCGTCATCAGTTTCTGCAAAGCAAAAATATTACAACATTATAAGGAGAAAACTACCGGTAGAATTATCATACAACTCAATTCCCATGAGAATTTAAGATTGTCTTGATCAGAGCTCATCATCCTTAGGAAAGTAAATAAATTTAAAAAATGAGAAAGAAATCAATTTTGGCTCCTTGCGTGACAAGTCAATTTCAGGGGCAAAATGAGCTAAAATTGGCCTTTACTTTGCAAGACTTACAAAGAGCCACGTTAGATGATAAAATCTGCCAGATGGGCACCCAAAAATGTTAACACTAAAATTATGATAACTTTTATATTCACTTCCTTTTTATTTTTATCTTTCATGGAATGCCTCTCAACTCTTTTCATAATCAAAAAGAAGGCCTCTAATAAGATTGAGGAACACATACAAATCAATTAATTGAAGAAAAATGATGAAACTGCAAAAAAACGTATCCCATTTGCTGTGCCAAAAAAACTCTGCTTCTGTTTTATTTTTGCAATGGGCAATTACTGCTTGACATTTCCGCTGAGCACTTTCGACACAGAAAGGAAAAATCGGGGAAGCTTCAAAAAAATGGCAAATAATTTTTGCTCCTTGAAAAAAAATTAGAGCAGGAAGCTTACAGCATTAAAAAGCAAGATGAGTATTTTTGCAATTTTACCATTGAAACATGACCATCAACTGGAAAGGAGACCTTTGCACCGAAAAATTCAAAAGTGAAATATTTGGAGCTGGTGCTTAGAAATGTGTTTCACTGACATTTCAGCCAAAAAGAACCCCGCACAGACCTTATGGGCAATGGCTCTCTCTAAAATCTGATGAAACTTGGATATGTTGCTCAGCTAGTCATTCTGATCAAAAGTTCTCACGGGTCGAAAGAGATCCCACGAGCGGTTTCCGAGATATTCACCGTTTTAAGTGCGTAAATTGAGGATTCGCTGGCCAGACCATTGTGCCCTTCCCTTTCAGTCCACTTCGGCCGCTCTCCACTTCCCTGCCACCCATACCCAAGGCTCGGACTCCAACGCTCACGAGGCTTTGCTCATCGTCGCCGAGCCGGGTGGTCTTATCACCGCGAGCGTTGGAATCCGAGCCTCAGGTACGGGTGGCGGGGAAGTGGAGAGCGGCCGAAGTGGACTGAAAGGGAAGGGCAAAAGAGGCGCCGCACAATGGTCCGCCCAGCAAAACCTCAATTTACGCACATACAACGGCGAATATCTCGAGAACCGCTCGTGGGATCTCTTTCGACCCATAAGAACTTTTGATCAGAATGACTAGCTGAGCAACATACGCAAGTTTCATTAGATTTTAGAGAGAGCCATTGCCCATAAGGTCTGTGCGGGGTTCTTTACTTACTAAACTGTACTACAAATACGACAGTTTTATGTTTCTGGTAAAAAAACCTGGATAGTAAGGGCTATTTCAAATTAGAATCTGCTATTTTGGTGGCTCAAAATTATTGGCTTAAGATACAATAAGATGTATTTATAAGCGTGTTTTTAGTTTTATTGAGAGGAAACTTGTGAAAAAGAATTAATAAAAATGAACTAAGTGAATGGGTTTTGTGTGCATTATAGTTTTTTTTCATTTCATTCATTCTCACATAATTCTTATTACCATTAGTGCGTCCAATTGTAGGCTCTAAGTGAGCACAAAAATGAACTACACTAACTTATTCCCTCTATTTTCTGTCAAAAAGTAAAATTCTGATTTGCAACCCAACTTTATTGAACTTGCTCAGGGTATTGGATGGTTTGTTTTCAAGTGTTTAGGTCCTATTCCCTTCGAACAGTTAAAAATAAATTTGACTGACCATTTTTGACAGGAACGACTGGAACAATGTTAGAAGGCTGGACAACTGGAATCAAACCATGCGCTGCTTCGGTTGTGTGATTCAGTAGCGTTGTTTTGTTCTCCGTTGCTGGTGAGTCATTTTGATATGATGTATGATCTACATCTTTGAATTCACTCGTGCTCAGACTTGTGTTCATCGAATTTACAGCCTCTGCCGAACTGTTGGACTGTACCTGCTGCTGCTTTGTCTTATTGCTTGCAAGAATTTTCTTTAGTGTTATGCCATTTATTGAGTTGGTTGCATTTTTCTTGAGTATCTGCCGAACAAAAAGAATGTTTGAAGAATGATAATAGAAATAGGAGCACTGGTTGCAGAAAGGACACTTCACAATTGCAATGTCTTGGAATCTCCACTAACGTTTCATCCATTGTGATCAAAGCATATGTAAGTGATTTGTTAAAGCTTTTACTCAATATTCTCCATGATTTAAAAATGCTCAAATGAAAAATTCCAGAAAATTCACCCAACGGTTTCCTCTCTGAAGTATAAATCATCAGTGAAGATTCTTAAACACCGCAGTCAAGAATAGCCCTTTTTGCACCAGACGTAAAATTTTTACAGATGGCCATGTTCACAAGGTAAATAGGTATAGAGGAGTAAAGAATATATTGATTGAATAAAATGAACCGTGAATCCTACTACTTAAGGATAAAAAATATTATAATAGAGTGAACAATGCAGCCAAATTAGAAAATAAATTCAGCTATTAGCATAAAAATGTATTCATTATTTATATTTTGTCCTTCGGAAAATTGAGTTCTAGGCACAAAAAAGTTCTTGATAATAGAGGCAGTAGTCTTTAACACTTTGAAACGGTATTTTCCTTTTTAAAGTTTTGACTTCGGTTTTGGAAAACATTTTTTTTTTCAAGTTGCGTTTAGTATAGAACTTCGATTCTCCTCATCAATCTTTTCATTACTGCTTACCTTGATATGGAAAAAGAAGACGATGAAATAAAAATTTTAAGGAATACTACATTAAAAATCATTCAGTGAATACATACGCCTTCAGGGAGGATTTTATTTGTCTGTTCATTCTTGAAAATATGCTGAAAAGAGCAAGGAAAGATAGTTCTTCATCAAAAAATGTGGTCTGAATGTGGGATGTGTCTCACACTTAGAGCAAAAAAAAAAGTACTCTTGTGCAAAATTTCTTTATGCTCAAAATTTGCCTTGATATTGGCGACAATGATAGGATGTCCCGATTCTGGGATCACAGGAACAGGCATTTTCTGAAATTTTTTGAGGAGAGACATTAAAAAACAGGAGATTTTGAGGCCTAGAATGCTCTTGTGAGTGACAATTAATAGTACACATTTTAAAAGATTCAAATTTTTACCAAAATGAGATTTTAGAGCAAAGATGGCTTCCTCCTTTGGTTAAAATTTTTTAAGCTGAAATCTTTCAGTTTTTTTAGGATAGAGAAAAAATGCAAACCTTTTCTTCTGGGATTTTGTTTTTGTGCACTTTATTGATATTGATTTTGGAGATGGTTACAAATGGACCACTGCTCGTTACTGGCTCTGTTGATGATGAATAAGGGTTTTGGCTTGCTTCTGTGGCATTGAATGAGTCAACCGAGTATGCTACAGTATTTCGGTCTGGTATTGCATGAGTTGAAGTGCTAGTATTGGAAGTTTCATCGATGAGGTAACTATCGTGAGAGTATGTTGTGATGATTTCTGTGGAACTGGGCTCGCTCCAAGCTTTGATGGGTGTCGGCAAGAATTCAGGCTTCGAACGAGCTGGAATAATAAATTGCATCATGAGAAAAAATGTCTAACATGCGACAATATTCCATTGAAAGGAGCAGTAAAAATGAATTCTTCGACTATGTGTGACCATTTGTAAGGAAAAGAGACCTCAGCGGAGCATGGATGTGCATTTTTTTAACAAAAATTTTTTGTATGTTGGGACAAAAATTGAAATTTCAGTTTTTGACTGAAAACTCTCTCTCACATTTCAAATATTATAAACAATTTTTTTTCTTTTTGCTTCAAAAATGTTGAGCTTTGACTGAAGTAGAGTAACACTTTCAAACCAACAAAACTTCAATTTGTTCCAGAATTTTTTTCTTTCCATGGCAAAGTGTTTGAGTGCACTTCTCTATGCTTATACCTCAATTTTGAACTTTCAAACACACTAGTCTCATTTTTTGTGGTCACAAATGTTCAACAACATCTTATTTCAGTTGAAATAACCTCATACATTGTCTTAAGATTGGTACAGTCTTAGTCAATGCAGTCTTGGAAAAAAAAATTAGCATTTCCTCACATAAATAATTTTTTTGGGATAAAAATAAGTATCATTCCTTGAAATTTTTGCGGAATTTTCTTTACACTAAGGGGAAAAATTAAAGCAGTTTTTGAGAATTGCTATTAAGTAGTTTTTCATTTGAAAAATAAGGTATGATATGAAGTCAATGGTGTCACAAACTGATAGGTGCGCAGTTTGGAAGTTCCACAGTTGATATCCAATGTGCAACCTATAAATGAGCTGGACGCAGTCAAATTATAAAACTGTTTCTTTTGACAGAAAGTAAACCTCTCACAGGAAATCACAGAGCGACACACAAAACTGGAACAATATAATTGAACTAGAAAAGATGAAATGTTAGGAAAATCTGCAAAGTCCAATGAGAGAGGCGCCAGGGTTCTTGGACACCTAACTGCCTCTCAGTCCAAAAATTATGTGCTGAGTATGTCTTGATGGCCATACTCTACAGGGCCAAAGACCCTGTATGCCATAAAGCAAGCACCCTTTTTATACCTACTGGCGGAAATTGTTTCGGAAGTAGGAAATCCCGGCCTATGACGTTTGATGGAGAAGTCTTACTTCACTAAGCTCCTACAATAATTACACAACGATGTCACAAATCACACAAATTTCTACAAATTTAAAAGGATATACGAACTCAATAGAATTAGAAAAAAGTTTCTCAACTTCATGCTTTAGGTTTCTTGGACGATTTACTTGATCTTGTATGGTTTTTATTAGCCAGTGCACTCTGTTGGAGCTGGCAAGAACTATAATTGAGGAGGTAGCTGAGGGGTTGCCAATTGTGACCATAAATTAGACTTTTTTTAAAAAAAAAATATACTTCAACAAACAAACAAATTTTAAAATAGCATTCGGAGGTTTCTTGACGGGTAGAGGCCAAATAAGCAATTTCTAATTTCATTCAATCATAAAATCTCAAGGAGTTACTAAGCTTTAAATGCTTTATCAAGCTGAAAGTGTACATTGAAAAGTGACAGAGCTTTGGCAAAATTATACCAAGGCTTAAATGAAAGTTGCTTCTTGAGGAAATTGCTCCAAAATCATAATATGCCCATTAACATAGTCTACAATTCAGCCTTCACAGCATGATACGTGGCGAGAAATTATATTTTCTCCAATTCAAAAAGTGAAATGTGTGAAAAGCGTGACTTTACTCAACGATGCCACCTTGATTTGTAAAATCGATGCTTTTAATGATTTTTTAGGCAAGTTTAGAGATAGATCAATTTCATTGAATTCTCAACTTTAAATATTGATAAAATATGTATCTCCATTGCAGTATTTAAACATTTCCACCCCTGTTTCTTATTTTCTTTTTCCAAAGAAAAACAAGCCAGCTTTAAGTAAACCTTACAATTCATGCAAAACTTCCTGCTGACAGAAAATAAAAATCAAGGAAGTTTTCAAGGAATTTAGTTGTCTAAAATTCCAAAGAAAAAATATAGTATGACAGGAAGTCTGTGATGTCGCAAACAGAGCTATGTGGTTTTGCACTTTAGCAATCGATACGCTTGAATGTGTGATCTTCAGATTTCTAAAATCTTCCACTAGGAAGTGGAGAAGAATCTTCTTTTTCTTTGAATTAATTTTATTTTAATGTTAAAAGCTAAATCAGAGAATGAATGAGGAATTCGTAATCCTTAGAAGCTCGATGCTCCTATTTTACACTAACCTGGAAATTCTGATGAATCTGCTGCGGATAATCGCATGTTGAGGTTAGAGATGCTCTTTGCCTCTCTGGCATCAGAATTTGATTGGCTGATTGTGCCTGCCCCACTGGAAATAAGACTTGAGGTTGACGAATGTTCTGGAGGTTCCAGCTCTTTACTATCTAGATCAGAATTATGACTGCGAAAATGCACCGGGCCTGGTGATATCTCTTCTTGAGATGAATCATCGATCGTTTCTGCTACCGCATTCAGAGTCAGCACTATTTGAACAAAAAAAAAACATAATAAATATACAATCTATTTTTCTGACGAATGGTATTCTACACACAATTCATGAAATTCTCTCCAACAGGATTGCTGTCCAACTTGTACTGACTAGGACTGATTCAAAACTGCAAATGCTGCTAGGCTCTTCACAGAATTTGTTCCAATTGTTAACTGCTTAGAATAACATTATAAAATGTTGCGCAAATACTGCTGTTACATTCATATTGGCAGTAACATTGTGACAAACGGTTGAGCCGCAAGCAAGACAGATTAAAGTCTTATACAGTTTTTTCATTAACAGAAATTTTTCTTCTTATTTATTTTCTTGTTCCAAAATGTCCATAATGTGTCCTAAATAATGGTGCCATTGAGCACCAAAGTCCCTTTCTCTGACAAACATATTTTTTTTTTGGTTCACTCATGAAAAATATCTACAAATATTCTTTAAAGAAACTTTAATTTTAAAAGTACCTTAAGTGATGAGAACATTTTAAACTAGGTCACCGCAGAAGTCATAATTTAATCCCTCACCCATAAAATAGACGCGGTGAGAGCAATAAGAATGGAAACGAAAAGGGATTGAAAGAATTTTCTGCATTAATGTATTTTCATCCCCAGTATACATATATCAATACTGAAACTGACTTCACTAAATTATCAACTTAAGAATGCTCATATAAATGTCTATGAGAGATAAAGCCACTTGAGTAGAACATTGCTAGATTAACTTGATGGAGGGCAAACTTTTACCTGCGAGAAATAATGTATACACACACATGGAAGCTGAATTGAAGAGCAGTGTCTAAACAAAGAACAGTTTAGCAAGACTGAATGTAGGTAGGGGCAGGTAATGATCTGAGAAACCATAGATATGCACTCAATCTAATAAGGACACAACACATGAGAGGCATCTGTCCAAGTTCAGGGTTAAAGACGCAATTTCTTTTTTGAGGGGTGTTTGAATTTCCCTACCACAGGTGCCAAGTGTGCCTTGTTTTCAATGACACCTAATTTAATAAACATTTGAACATCAATAACACAGCCTTGCGAACTAAAGGCAATGTCATATTCATAGATACCTTACTTAATTCCTCTATTTCATATGGTGCTGATATACAGAAAAATGCTTTTGAAAAATTCAATCAACACACAATTTTCCAACAAATCTAAATTTTCCTGAAGCACCGGCTTTAAACATTCTTTTTACTGAAAGTTGATCTGAGGAGAAAAAAGACGAATTTCGCAGCAAAAAGCACAGGGGCATTCATCAAAAGCTAGCCTAAGAAATTTCCTTACTCCTTTGGAGCGCAAAATTTCTTTGGCCTAATGATCAACTTTCAAAAAATTTACCCATTTGCCACATGTAACTTATCCAGGTGTTATGCATTTCGTATAAAGGGGGAAAAATTTGACAGGTGTCTTACAAAGTTTAAGTCAAGCATTTTTAGTTGCTGAATCCAAAAATAAACTAGGCTTTTCCTAACACTTACAGGTTTTTCAAAAAATCAGAGTTTTCAAAACTTGCAAATTTATCTCATCAGGAATTTCCTCAATCAAGATTTTCTGAGAGTATGACACAATAAAAATTATGTGAGGTCATGAAATACGAACAAAAGGAGATGACACTTTTCTATTTTAAGCTCCTTTAACAACTTTTTCTTATAATTCTCAGCAATTAAAAAATGCACTCGTTAAAAGAAAAAGGATAGACCACAGTAAACTGAGTTTAACAGAGACACACTAGGTCGAACTTCGGAAAATGATGAGTTGGGAGTAGCTTTGAGCTCAACTAGTCATAAATTTCCTTCAGTCAAAAATACAAGGTCGAGAAATAATATTTTAATCATGAAAAAAATTGTTAAACTTAGTCCTCAGCATAAAGTCTTGAGTGAGAATGAGCTTTAAGCCTCCTTATATCGATTCTAACTTGATGCACTTCAGGTAAATTCGATCAGATTGATACTGGCACCCCGCACCAACTGATATGCTAGTAGGTTTTTAGTGGAATTTTGAAAAAGTGATAGAAAGGAAAGCAACGTCACAAAGAACTTATTAATTTATTTAAAATTAAAACCGAAAACACGATCATATTACTTTAATCCCTAAATCTTTTTTAGCCTCTAAATACTTCTTTGTATGATGTTAGTTTTGAGAAAGCTGCGAACAAAGTAGCTCTCTACCAAAGAGCTTGAGGAAACATGAGGTTACGGAGTTCGAGGGAGAGGCGAGGAAAAATTTGCATAATAATTGAATAATAGAGCTGACACACAACAAGGAGTTGGACAAAAGCCTCTTTGTTGTTCATAATGAGATACATCATTACAATGGGTAAAATTGGTCGGTGCCCTAATTACACTGGTATTAAAAAATAAAGAGAGAGAAATAGGAAATCAACTTGGTTTTTGGCTACCAAGGAAGAACATATAAAAAAAACTGGATAATCTGCTAATTTCTTCCTCTTCTATCTGCCGGTTTATTCATTATTTTGTTTTCCCTCCCCTCTTCCGCACATTAGAAAGTGATTTTGTAGTTTTCTGCTTGAAATCCTGCTCTGTAGTACAAATCATTTCCACGAGCTTCGCTATACTAAGTACATAGATGATCTCTATTTTTTCACTAAATGTTAAAAAAAATGTACATCCAAAAGTGCAAAAATACCACAGGTTTTTCCCCCTTCCTTTTTCTCTAATATCCAGATTTTGTGAGACAAGTCTTTAAATTCTTAAAATAGCCATTGATGGAAATATTTTGTTTTGAAAAGCATTTTACACAACAGTCGTTCTGAACAAGATAAAACATATTTTCGCTACAGGTTCTGGATGATTCAGGATGACTGTTGTGAACAGTGCTATTTAAAAGTGGATAATTTGACCAGTGACTATTTAAAGAATTTACCTAAAGGCTTATTTTCCATAATCGGCGCATAGAAAGAAGAAGGGGGAAAAACCTCATTTTTTTTTCACGATACAAGTACATATGTATTTCTTTTTCACATTTAGTGAAAAAAAGGAAGATTATTCATGTACTTAGTGCACCTATCCTGGTGAAATGGATTTCTGCTTCGGACAGCAGGAGGACTAAGTTACTAAACTAACTGCAGGAACTAACTGCAAAAAAGTACTTATATCTGAATCAATACTTTTTTCTCCCTTTTTTTTTCTTTCTTCTTGTTTTTTAAACTTTGAGTTGTCTGAGCATCAAACCTGAAGTGTAGGAGTAAGATAAAAGAGTGAAAAAACTTACCAAAAGTGATCCAGGTTATCCAGAACCAGTGACTCCAAAGGTGCAATGTCATGGTGCTATTAGAACCATTCTGTCATCGTAGAAAATCCAATATCAAACCTGTTAGGAATAGAAAAAAAAAATAAAGTCATTCTGTTGAAACGTTCGAATTAGCCTAAATAGCAATTTCAAATTAGAACACCAGATTTCCTTATTTTTGGTTCATAACTAATGCTCAAGTTTCATAAAATCCAAAATTGGCAGGCTAGTGTAAAGGATAACATCAATGTTCAAAGAGTGAAACCACATATCTACGATTGCAACGTTGCAGACTTCCTGTCATTCTCCACTTTTTCTTTGGAAAATTAGTTATCGTAATGTCTTGAGAAATCCCCTGATTTTTCTTCTGGATTGGCAAAATATTCTGTAAAAATTTCAAGCTATGAATTGGTTTATTTCTTTTAAAAAAAATAAAATAGAGGCAAGTATTTTGAAACACCGCAATGGAGATAAGTGGTTTTGCATTTTGACCATCGACGTACTGAGACTGAAAGCTCGCATGCTAAGAAAATTTCTTTTTAAGACACTCAGATGATGAAAGGAGACACTCAGAAGTTAATCAAGCTTTTTTAAAGGGCACTGGCTAAAGTTACCAAGCCTATACGCTATATTCGCGGATTTTCTAGACTTTTCCTACAAATTCCTTAACCTTCACTGGTTGCCAAAAATTCCTTGATTTTTGATTTTCCAGACCCTGTGCCAATCACCTTCCCCTATGATTGGTTTTATGGTATGTCTGCTTGAATATATTTTGTCCTTTTCCTGCAGTCTACAAAATTTACTATAGAGTTATCTTGATGCGATCCATGAATGATTTTCGCTCAAAATAGAACTCTATTGCAAAAATTGATGTTCCCACTGGAGAAAATGACAGGTGCAAGCAATGAGGTGCATACTTGTAAGGATCATTCTTGCAACGACCTAATAGGAGCTGCTTTGAACTTGTCGAATAAATTGATAGAAGCAGAAGGCTACTCAGTTCCTCGTCCCTGTTTTTAAACATTTTAATTGAAGAAACGATATGGTAGGTATGTACTTACTTCAAAGTTACATCAGTCTTGCAGTTAATTTACTTACGAAGGAGGAAAATGAACATGTTTAAGGTATTATAATACCAGGGGCTGATGGCAGATGAATACAAGTAAAAAAGTGAAACTGAAATCTTGCAGGTATTCAACTGGCAACTTCAGAGGTCTTTGACTTTAAAACAAGATGTTTGTCAACTCTGAATAAAACACTGCAAAAACTGGAGCAAATAGTGACACATGTGCCATTAATGGCAACCTGTCATAGATGTTACTCTCCAAGTTTTCCATTTATGGAAATCCATTACATAAGGCTGATAGATAACGTAACTAGAACAATACCTTTCACATAGTAACAATTCGAGAGACATAAAACCACTTAATTCTGAGGTAGGTAAAATGTAACATTAGAGCTATGAGTTTCCCAATTTCACATCACTGGGGAAAACCAGTGTGCTAGTCAAATCATACAAGGTTAAATAACCAACTCTTGAGAAACTGTCATGTTGAAAAATTAAGTCAGTTATACCCAAAGACATACCTTATGCTGATGTAATGGTTCACTGCACATCAAAGGGAAAGCCGAACTGGATAGCATACTAATGTGATTCCACACGCAAGAAGATGCTATTTTACTCATTAACAAACTAATTTGTTACTAAAGTCAAACATTAAAGATTAATAATCTAGAATTTTAGAATAAAAGGGATCTGCTAACCTCAACGACAGGACAACAAAACAACAAAAGCAACATAGAGAAAAAAAAGGAGGTGTTTGCATTTCGGGCATCTTGGAATTTTTCATAGAGTATCTATAGCTTTGATGACGTCATTGGGTACAGCGACGTTTTTATCCTGTCGATTTTCTTGGAAATGGTGTAATTTAAGGGAAAAAGTCATTCTATAAAAAGTGCTTGAAATTATATAAAGAGTTGATTTAAGTAAAAAAATCGGACATTATGGTCCGTTATTACAGCGTCAACATAACCCTCAACGAGCATCTTGTTTACATTGATGACGTAGGTGGGTACAAATCCTCAAGATGCAAACACCTCCTTTTTTTTCTCTATGCAAAAGCAAGACCAATCAATTTTGCAGTTCTGAATTCGTCCGCAACGCAGCGCTGGTTGCCAGGATTGCACAAAGTCACGTGACCAAAAATTTTACAGCGCGAAAATATGAAATACTGCGTCACCTGTATGGACCATTGCCCTGTGCCTGTGCAGTTTGAAAAACTTCTGAATGCTCTTTTTCTGTTGATCAGGGAAAAGCTGAGCAAGTCATCTTCAAAACATTGCTAATCAAATGTTTATGAATCATAGTTTTATATTTTACCAATTGAAAGCCTCTCTTCACTTTATCCTCATATTTCATTACACTCTGATTGCAGGTGATCTAAAACATTACAATTTAAAACTCCTCCGTCAACTCTATTAAAACACTTTCAGTACAATGTCATTTTTGTCGTTTTTATATTTCCTATTCCCTATTCCTACGAATAAAGTGCACTCGGAGCATTAAACTATTCTTCGTGACAGAAAAAGGGCCAAAATTACGATTGATTTTTTGAATTGTTGCTTCAGCTGTAAGCCATTACTGCTTATACAAGCAGTTGTAAAATGAATTCACCAAAAAAGTGAATAAAAACAGTAATAAATAAATGATAAAATTTAGCCATTTCCAGGAAAAATGTTTCACGGTATTTTATGAAGAGAAATAGAATGGTGGCTAATTTTTAAACCCAATCTTTAGATATTTAAATGTAAAACTAGGGGCCTGTGGCTTCCACGCGGCCGCCAGCCACTGAAAAAAAATGCTCGTGCAAAATCGTAAAACAACCATGCTCAAGTTACCTTGAGATTGATGAATTCAAAAGTCGACGGGTGCACGCGAAAGAACGCGTATTTATCTCTGATTGCAACATTATGAACCACTTTTTAAGTTTTATTTTTGAATACCGTTTTTCAAAAGCTATACACCGAAAAAAATAATATGCTGTTTTAGCACCTAGGATGTTAAAAATGTGTCTGGTGATCCGGAGTTGTTGTCCTTACTGGCCTCGCAGTTAACTCTACATCCTGTGAATGCAACTTTAACTCTGTAGGCAGTTAATAAGGCAGCATCTTGAGATCACCAGACACATTTTTAGCATCCTAGGTGCTAAAACAGCATATTATTTTTTTCGGTGACACACAGTTTCTCTGAAGAGTTTCCGCGAATTTTTCCAAATGACATCAAATGAAAGCATCAAAAATTTCGACGTGATGTTTTCGTTCATTCTATTTTCTTTCATGTAACAAACAAAAAATTGAGTATCATCCGAGTTTCTGAATCGTTACAACGAGGATGCATGTCGACGGCGTTCGGCAATCACATATCTCGTTTGCGGTGTCTAAAAATCTCCGCCTCCATGTTATTTTTTTACAGAAGAACAAATCGACATCGTTCCTTGAAGTTTTTGCCGAATTTTCTTCGCACAGAAAAGAAAAATCACGTCAGTTTTAAAGAATTGCCGTTGAGTAGTTTTCCATTTAAGAAATAAAGTAAGACAGGAAGTCTGCGACGTCGCAAACCGAGTTATGTGATTGCCGACTTACACCGTCGATATTTCCCTTTACTTATGGTAAAAACCGGAGCAGAGAGTCAAGAATGATGACACGTAATCCTAGTTTAATATTCATCGAATAGGAAACACACCTACATGGAAGCACAAATAGTTATCTTTTCACTCTTCGTCGTGCAGGCGCTTCTTTCGCCGTGAAGGAACCAACAGACGATGCGTGAACGTTTAACCAAAACATCGTCCATTAGAAGTTCGCCTTCAATATCGCCGAACAAGCAACAAACTTACACAGAAGCACGTAAAGTTATCTCCTCGTAGTGAAGGCGGTTTTTTCACTCCATGTCCGAATGATACAACAGACGGCGCGCCGTCCGGAGCGCATGGTGCGCGAACCGCCTTTCATTATTACACTTCTTTTAGTGTTGAAAGTTCACTAATTACTTCACACAAACAGTGTGTAATTTTAAAAGTCGGAATTTAAATTTTAAAAAAAAGGTAAAAAAAAAAATTTAACACGAAGTTGTTCATTTAACAAACCGAAAAAAATAATATGCTGTTTTAGCACCTAGGATGTTAAAAATGTGTCTGGTGATCCGGAGTTGTTGTCCTTACTGGCCTCGCAGTTAACTCTACATCCTGTGAATGCAACTTTAACTCTGTAGGCAGTTAAGGCAGCATCTTGAGATCACCAGACACATTTTTAGCATCCTAGGTGCTAAAACAGCATATTATTTTTTTCGGTGCAGAAGTCGCTAATTCATTAAAAGGCTTCAGAGAGCTCTCCCCGCTAAAGATAGTTCACCACCCGCCCGCCGGAAGCGCCGCGGCCGCGGCGTGCTATCGGGCGAAACGCGCACTGACGCCTACAAACCTAATGCGCTACTTCACGCATTGCGCAATGCTTGAAGTATCCACTTAGGTTTGTAGGGGCTACTTCACGCATTGCGCAATGCTTGAAGTATCCACTTAGGTTTGTAGGGGCTACTTCACGCATTGCGCAATGCTTGAAGTATCCACTTAGGTTTGTAGGCGCCAATGCGCGTTTTGAGCTGGTAGCTCGCGGCGCCTCGGCGCAAAGCCTTTATTTTGCACATCATCTACTTGAATTTTTGCCTTCAATCTTTGCCGAAATGACCTTCAAACCCTCATGAGAGCGCACTACTTTCAAGAGTTATCTGGACGATGTTCACTCCATTATTGCATTCAAGTGGTATCCGGGGTTTTTTGACCCCTCAGCAAATAGCCGTATACCAACAGACGATGTTTTTAATGAAATGACGATTTTTCTTCACTGTTTAACCATTTTTTTTGTTCAGAGAAAATTGATTGTGCTTGGGTGTAGCAATTTTAGCCACTTAATATTAATTTTCCGTTTCTTTTTTTTTCTTATTTTCATATCAGCACTTACCCTAGAGCCAAAAGGTACCTAACTCCATTTTAGTCTCTTTGAGGTTAGGGGAAAATCGCGGGTCCGCCACGCATTGACTCCAATGTAAATATCATTTTTGAAATTCCGTATCGCATAACCGGCGTAAGATAGGTGGGACCACCAAATTTTCCACGCACACGGAGACGTTCATGGAGATTTCGCAAAATTCGCGCCTACTAACTCTATTTTTTTAAAAATCTGAGTTAGGTACATTTTAGCTGTGGGGTACTGATACAATTTCTGCCTTTTCCACCACTTTTTTCACCGTGTCTGCCGTGTTTACCTTTTGCAACCGCAACAGTTCTGCAGCAACTCAGCAAGTGTCTAACTTCCTGAATCGGGCTGTTGTATCATCATTCATCACCTCCCGGCCAAAGTATCACAAGCACCGTGCGACGTTCCAAAATTTTCCACAGCTATTTTATTTTCTTACAGAGAAATTGTCGGTTGAATCTGTTTGAAAATTTCACCGAATTGTTTCGGCAGCACAAAGAAAGTTCAGCAAAATTTTCCGGCAGCATCGTTGAACGATTTCTCTGTACAAAAATAAAATGGCGGCGGAAATGTCGAAACGTCGCGTGGCTCTTGTGATACTTTGGCCAGGAGGGGATGCGGTATGCATACCTGTGCGCCGCAGTTTATTTCGCCGTGCATTTCTAGAGTTTGAAAAGTATCACGGGCTGACAAGATTGTAAACTTTCGCTGTCTGGAGTATGACTTCAGATTCATATTCACTGCGTTTTAAGCCGCATAAGTATGTTAATACGAACTTCCGGTGCGGCGGTGTTGCGTGGCGTGACTCACCGTTCACCGCGCGCTGCTCAGCGATACAATCAGATCGGAACCGATGATCCTCTCATCTCAACGGATCAAGACGCCATAGCATCGCTCCACGGGCATAAGGGCGTATCTTCATTTCCGCACGAGCCCTAGAACGTATGCGTTTATATGTAAAACAGGGCTCACGTGGAAATTGAGATACGCCTTTACGCCGGAGCAGCGACGATATTCCGACAACTACCGTTTCACGGAAAAAAACCGTATGAACTTTTGATCGTTGGCGTTGCCACTTTTCATCTGAAATAATATGAATATTTTGGCTTGAAAACCCAGTGTCCGTTTTTGACCAAACAATTGCCAAGGAAGTGGCCTTCATTGGCAGATCCAGTAAATGGGCAACATTGTTTTTCTCCATTTAAAAGTATGGAAATGTATCGATTCTTAGAGGGGCCAGGTGCTCCGACAAGAATCGATTATTTAACATAGGTTTAAATGAAGGGAATCCTGTGGTGCCAAATTGCTGGATCCGCCTCTGGTGGACTTTGCACACGGAAGCAAATATCGAAGGCGTAAGTCCTCAATCACAAATCTCGTTTGCGATGTCTGAAAATCTCCGTCTCTATGTTATTTGTTAGAGGAGAAAAAATTGACATCAATCCTTGAAATTTTTGCAAAATTTTCTTGGCGCAGAGAAGAAAACTCACGGTAGTTTTAAAGAATTGCCGTTGAGTAGTTTTCCGTTTAAAAAATAAAGTATGACAGGAAGTCTGCGACGTCGTAAACCGAGATACATGATTGCGGACTTACTCCGTCGATATGGTTTAGACATCCCGGCATCATAAATTTAAGTACTGTAATTAGGTAAGGCAAATATTAAATTCGGAAGTCAACGCTATTTTACACCTAATGATGATTGGCTCTCCCATAAAAGGCATCCATGGCATTGGTCTTCTCTGCGAAGGTATGAGA